CTAGTCTATAGTCTAGTCTATAGTCTAGTCTATAGTCTAGTCTATAGTCTAGTCTATAGTCTAGTCTATAGTCTAGTCTATAGTCTAGTCTATAGTCTAGTCTATAGTCTAGTCTATAGTCTAGTCTATAGTCTAGTCTATAGTCTAGTCTATAGTCTAGTCTATAGTCTAGTCTAGTCTAGTCTATAGTCTAGTCTATAGTCTAGTTTATAGTCTAGTCTATAGTCTAGTCTATAGTGTAGTCTATATTCGGGAAAAACATCAAATTGGTAACAGTGATAATGGGGAATGATTGAGAGAGTTTATATAATGTCGATAGAATATAGAATCTATAAAATTGTCGGGAGATTATAGAATAGCCGAGATAAAAACTATGGAGACTTGGAATACTCGGGAGCTAATAGAATAGTAGATGCTCTATGGAATAATCGACTGTAGAATAGTATAGAATAGATTAGTCAAAAGACTGTTCTTAAATTTTGCAACTCAAGCTGAATAATTTTACATTTGTTGTGGTAAAATTCCATAACTACAGCAAATGTTTTTCAATTTTACCATTAAATTTATAATTGAACCCACTGTAACGTAGTGTAGATAATTTAAAAGAATTATCAAACAAACCATTGCCATTGTGCAAAAATTTCATAATACTTTTTCAATCCACTTTTTGCTGCTAAATAGCTTTAGGCGTTTTTTTAAACAGACAAATGAACATTTTGTTAGAAAACTACAAGCACATTAAACAATATCTGTCTGTATCCTTTTGAGAAAAGTGTTGCATCGTAAACCGTTTCAACGTCAAACGCCTTAATGTATCTGTGTCCGTTTCTGTATTAATGTTAAAGTGTTGTCGTTGGTCTTTCTTCTCTCAGTCGTATTGTAAGTAGTTATTTGTATTTGTAGGCATTATAACAATTTGTCTTGTTTTATGCCTTGGCCATTTTTGTTTTTTTTTTTTTTAAAGTGCTAAAAGGCAAAATAGCTTTTGAGTATATCTTTTTGAGATTTTTGTCTTTGCTGAACAAGTTAATTTACAAATAAAGCAAATCCTAAGTGGGTAAAATAGAACAAAAAGATGAAAATGATTATGGCGAGCACTTGTAGAATAAATACATTGGTCTTAAAATATATGTTTCTGAAAACATTTTTATGTATTTAATGGATTAAAGAGATTTTGTGCTTTTCGTTTATAGCAAATATACATATTGCTTCATTTCCAATTTATTAGAAAAAAAAAAAATATATAAAAATAAATATTGTAAAAAGAGAAAAAATCAAATGTTAATATTTATTTAAGCTGTCCTTCTAAGCGTCAAAGCGTATGCAATACAAATACAAGTAGGAGAAAAGTGATGACAATTGAAAAATTCTGTATTTTTCTTTTGCTGCTGCCACCACATTTCATTATGATGGAAAATTGTGTTCTTCAACAGTCTGTTTGACTGTCTGTCCTTCCATCGGTACTAGTAACATAATATGTGTTTGTATGTTGATTTAGTTTTCTATACTTTTTGTATTGCTCTCACTTTGGTTTTGTTTAGTTTTTGTTTTTTTTTTTCCTTTTGTATTGCATTTTGACAATTTCTCATGGGACATCAATCATATGTAAACAACAACAGCAGCGGCAGCAACCCAGTTTAACAATGACTACAAGGAAAACTATTCATAAAGGAACAAAACAGTAAAATAAATGTACATATGTATATAAACCACAACCAATTGGAAAATTCATATCATATGATGAATGAAGTGAAGTACCAGTGTGAGAGTACACTACAGCGGAAATGTAGTGGCAAGCAAAACGCGACCTTAAGAATAATGGCAGTGGGAAAAGAACAGATTAAATGACAAATAAAAATCCATAAACTACAGAGACGACATTTTGGAAATTGTGGAAAATTTTCAATTTGTCTTTTCTTATGGTTTGGATGTCTGGCTCTGTGAACCATATACATATGTGGTTAATACGAATATGACTAATAATTGTTGGGTTGATTGTTGTTTTTTTTTTGGGGTTTACAAATATTTTTAATCTTCTCTTTTTTTCATTATGACAGAAGTTTTGAAGAGTTAGTTTGATTAGACATGAAGACAGTGGGTCATTGAGTTAAGGCTAAACTTTGTTTGCCCACGCATGGGTCAGATATTTTGTCTTTATAATGAGAAAGGTATGAGCAAAGAACGTCACAAAAATTTTTTTAATACAAAAGCTTTTTTTTAGAAAATTAAGTTTAAAACCTTTTTACTAAAAATTATTTTTACCAAAAAAGCTTTCATAAAAAAGATTTTTACTAAAACTTTATCAAAAATCTTTTTCTAAAAATTAAATTTTCATTAAAAAAGTTTTCCCCTAAAAAAATATATTTTCTGACGAAACATTTTTAAAAGCTTTTTTATACTTTTTATTTAACAGAAATTTTATGAAAAGCATTTAGCAAAGGTTTTATTTTTACCAAAAAAGCTTTAATGAAAAGCTTTTTACTAAAAAAAGCTTTTTACAAACTCTTTATCAAAAAAGCATTTCATAAAAATTCATTAAAATAATCCTTTAAAAAAGTTTTATGAAAAGCTTCTTACAAACTCTTCATCAAAACAACATTTCTTAAAAATTAAAGGGTTTTTCAAAAATGATGTAATGAAAAGCTTTTTACTAGAAGAGCTAAACTTTTTATCAAAAAAGCTTTTTCTTAAAAATAACATTTTTATACAAAATTATTAAAATACTTTTCCCATAAAATATCTTTTCTGAAAAAACAATTTTTATAATAAAGCTTTTTTACCAGAATACTTTTTACTTAACACAAAAAATGTTTTATTAAAGCTTTAACTAATGTTTGTTTTTTACCAAAAACTCTCTTATAAGAACGCTTTTTACAAAAATCACTTTCTACCATAAAAGCTTTTTCTCAAAAATAACATTTTCATAAAAAAATTTATTAAAATATTTGTTTTCATAAAGTAGATATTTTCTGACAAAACATATTTTATCATAAAGCTTTTTTTCCCTTCAGTATTATTTATTTATTTGAATAAATCCTTTTAAAACCATTCATGAAGGTTTTTTTTTATCAAAAAAGCTTTTTTAAAAAATTTCATTTCATAAAAAATTTACAAAAATAAGTCTTTCATAAAGAAGATATTTTCTGACAAAACATTTTTTATAATAAAGCTTTTTCCCTAGAATACTTTTTATTTAAGAGAAACACTTTTCAGAGAGTATTTAGAAAATCTTTCTTTACATAAAGTTTATCAAAAAAGCTTTTTCATAAAAATAACATTTTCTTAAAAAAATTCATTAAAATATTTTTCCCACAAAGAAGATATTTTCCAAGAAAACTTTTTTTAATAAAGCTTTACTTCAAGGAATACATTTTACTTAACAGAAAGCTTTTTTTATTGAAAATGTTTGCCTTAAAATCGTTTTCTTAAAACTAATTGTTTCATACAAAAATATTTTTTTTTTAAATATTTTTAAATATTTTTTTAACAGATAAAAGCCTTTTCACAGAATGAGTTTTTGATCAAAGCAGGAAGTAGTTTCTTTATAAGAGCTGAAAAAAGCTTTCTTAGTAAAACCATTTTTTTATTGAAAAAGCTGTTTTTAATGAAAAGCTTTTTTTGCATTAGAACTGAAAAAGCTTTTTTTCAGCAAATTCTTTTGTAACAACATTATAATATCAATTTGTTATAAAAAATTGTTTTTTTTATATAAAGAGCTTTTTATAAAAACTGAAAAAGCTTTTGTTAATCAAATTATTTTGTAACAACATTATAATATAATTTTATGTTAAAAATAGAAAAATCAGGTTGAATAAAAACCCTTTTTAAAGGAAAAAGCTCTATTTAGTAAAAAATTATACCAAATGATTTTTTGTAAGCTTTTTTCATTAGAGTCCTTTTTTAATAAAATATTTTTAATGTAAAAAGCTCATTTTAGCAAAAAACTTTTTATATGAAAATATTTTTGTATAAGACTTTTTTTATTAGAAATGAAAGGGCTTTTTTCTTAATAAAATACTTTTATAAGGGAAAAAGCTATTTTCTATGAGAAGCTTAGCCTTTTTCATAAAAATTATGTACTAACAGAAAAATGCTTTATTCTTAAAAAGGGATATAAAACTTTTATCATTAAAACAGAAGAACGAATTTTTTTACTCGAAAAAAAACTTCTCCATGAAAAGCTTTTATCATAAAAACCTAATTACGAGGAAAAAAACTGTTTTTAATAAACAGTAACAGCTTTTTAACAGAAATACAGGAAATTATTATTATTTCACGAAAATTCTTGTTCTAGTAGAAAAGCTTTTTCCACAAAAGATTGTTTTTCTATAAGAAAACTGTTTTAAGAAAAAGTTATATTTTTTAACAGAAATATCCTTACTTCCTTTTAAATGGAAAAAGCCTTTTTTCGTAAAAAAAGTTTTCCAAGAAAAGCTTTTATTGATAAAAGTTAATTCTAAGGACAAAAGCTTTCTTTCATAAATAGAAACAGTTTTGCTTTTACAAAAAAGGAGTTTTTTTTAAAAGAAATATTTTTTCTAGAAAAAAGCTTTTTTCACAAAAGAATGTTTTTCTGTAAAATATTGGAAAAAAGGCGTTTTCTTGGAGCTTTTTTTACAAAAATCCATCTTGTGGCAGAAAAAAAGCTTTTTCATAGAGTTATTTTTTTTTGTAGCAGAAAAATCTTTTTCTTACTGAAAGACTTTTCTCACTCCTGAGAAACTTTCAATCCCACTGTTTAAGAAGAGACCTTGATATTTTATATCTTGATTTTCTCATTTCTAATGTTAAACACTCATAATGTTGCGTTATAGAAAATGAAAGATAAATAAATATTTAAACATATTTACTGCAGAGATTTTAAATATGCATTTTTTTGTTTAGATTTAATTTCTTCTCATAATTTAAAGAAAAAATTTAAATATTTTGTTTTTTTTTTCTTGTGTAAAACACAACTAAATAAACTAAAAGCTTTTGTTTTTTTTTTAAAGGCAACTCACCATTATTCCTGTACTAACAGCGATACCACGTCCACAATACGTATTTGGAACAATATCACCAAAACCAACACTGAGAAATGTTATTGCTATCAGCCACATTGCATTCAAAAGATTTGCATGTTCTTCATCATGAAATCTAAACAATTGCGAATTTTTTTCCAAAAATTTTATTTTTTTGTTTTTTTTTTTTTTTTTGGTAAAAGTATTTTTGATTTTATGCGTTTTGCACCAAGACCAGAAAAAAGGTTGATTGTTGGTCGGTTGGTTGATTGTTTAATAGATTTTTTTTTTTGGTTTGATGGGTTGTTTAAGTTGTATTTCAGAGATTGATTGATAGATTGGTTGGTTGGTAGGTTGTTTGATTTGTTCGTTTTGGTTGATATTTTTGTAGCAGTAGAGATACAAAACAGAGATACACACACGGTTGGAGTTGTTTTTTTTATTATTTTTGTTTTAACGATTTTTGCATTTTGGTTATTTTGTTTATTATTTTTGATTTTTGTAACATATTTGAGAGAAAAAATGAAATAAAAGAAAAAAAATAATAAAAAAGTGATAATAAATTAAATTATAATGAAATAGTTATTTTTAAATAAATATGATTTACTACTTTAAAGTTTTATAGAGTTTTTATTTTTTTTGTAAATATAGAGAAAAAAAAAAAAAAAAAAAAAACAAAACCATAAAAAGGAGGTAGAGTAGAGAGAGAAATCATAAATACAATCATATTTCTAAAAGCGCTACTTTACTAATCTTATTGATACTTAAATTTAATTTTATTGTACGTAATTTACTAACTATAATGATTTGTTATGAATTATTTATAATGTTTTTATAACAATATCGATCGATCGGATTCGATTATATTCGATTAGATCCCAGTTTGTAAAATTGTATGTTAAGCGATTATTTTTATTTCTTAATTTATTTGTCCATTACAATACAATTACAAATTATATTCTAACCTAATTTACCGAGCAGGTTGGCGATGACCATAAGCCCTTTGTAGTGTAGCAGATCAGAGTCTCTCACCCGAATACTGCTCTAGATATATGCAAAAATCTCTTTTATTAAATATTTTGCTCTCTTTGCCTATTACTGCTTTATATAAGATATACGCAAAGAGCTCTCTTATTAGTTCTTTTGCTCTCTTACATTCACTCGTAAGAAAACTAACACCTTTCCATTATAAAACAAAACCAGTTGGAGAGTTCATTTATAAATATTTGCCTAAGACTGTTTTATGTAGTCTTAGAGAAATTTGTGATCTACCAGATCATAGGAAAAATCTAATTGTATTTAAACTTTCGTCATTGCAATTTTCAAAACGAAACCAAATTTTGAAACATTTTAAAACTTCGGCTGTACCCATTATAGTGGGGGTTTCAGGAGCTCTAACGGTTGAATTTTTAATGATATTTTAATGAAATTTTATATACAAATGTTCTCACCGAGAGGGGACACCAAAGAAAATAATTTAAGCATGGACTGGAATAGAGGCCTTTTTCTTCTTTTTTTTACATATAATGTAGGAAGAAGCCCCAGTAAAAAATTCTACTCGGAAACGGTTATTATTCCATACATAACAATGTTTTTTTATTGTTGATAATGTGATTATATAAAATAATTCATTAAATGGTCAATTATAATTACTTGTAGTGCCTAATTGAGCATCAAATTACTTGTAATGTGTAAGAGAACAATAACTAATTACAAGAATTTTTACCAATTACTAATTAACCAATAGCGAATTACAATTACTTACTTGTAATGAGTTATTGAACAATAGAAAATTACAATTACATGGAATTTTGCCAATTACAATAACGAATTACAATTACTTACTTGTAATGTGTAATTGAACAATAGAAAATTACAATTGCATGGAATTTTGCCAATTACAATTACTTAATAATGAGTAACTGATATCAATAATGAATTACATTTACCTACTTGTAATGTGTAATTGCCCAATAATAATTACTTGTAATGTGTTATTGATCAATGACGAAATACAATTACATAATTTAAGCCAATTACAATAACTTAATATTGTGTAATTGACCAATAACTAATTACTTTATATTGTGTAATTGAGTATTAACTAATTATTACTTACTTGTAATGTGTAATTGAACAATAGCAAATTACAATTACAAGAAGTTTTGCCAATTACAATCACTTAATAATGTGTAATTGAGTAATAAAAATCACCTACTTGTAATGTGTAATTGAGTAATAACCAATTAGAATTACATTAAGTTTTGTCTATTATTTCTAATTGTAGTTTAGATATTACCAATTTTTACATGTATTATAAGTAACAAATTCAAAATTACAAGTAATTGTAATTAGTGTAAAAAGTAATTGTAATTGAAAATGGTAAAACTAAGGGGTAATGATTAATTTAGTTTTAACAATTACTAATTCACGAATAACGAATTACAATTATCTACTTGTAATGTGTAATTGATCAATTACAATTGCTTATGATATAAATAATGTTTTATAAACTTATTAAAGTTTTATTTCGTTAAAAGTTTTAAGAAACATCTAATATGTAATGTCCTTGATAATTTTTAAAGGACTAAGAACTAAAATATTAATTTAATTTATTTTCTAATGAATTGATATAAATGGATCTGTAAAAAATTTGTTCGGATCGGTTCATATTGATTGATTAACAAATCTCATAAAAAATTGTCGTATGGAACTTCATAATTGAATCTGAACGTTCGATCGAACTACTAATAAGAAATACCAAAAACATGAAGCGAGTTCTTATTATGAAAATTTTTAAAAAATCATTCAGTATTTAATAGGTTTTTGGAAAAACTCGAAATCGCCTTAATATAACTGCTCTACATCATGCGATAAACTTGTATATTGTATATTGCTTGTTTAAATGATTAAGAAAATCCCTCCCAAAGAAGAATTTTTATCAATTTGATGTAAACTTTTAATCGACTTCTGGCTGATAGTTACTTAAGTTTATGTACGTTTAAGTCACTTCTAAATGATAGTTGATTGAACATATTAAAAAATGGATGTCCGCTAGTAGTCGCGGTCACGATTAATAATGATACTTAGTAGATAAGAAACTTGATACTTTGGCGATTAAATGCTCAATCAATTGGAGAACTTGCGTGTTAAAATTCTGGAACTAATGATTGAATAGAATATGTTGGGATAAATGTGATTGTACATTAAAATATTTCTATATAGAGGTAGGATCCAGATTTTTGATACCAATTATTCATTAGTTCCACCCGTTAGTTCTACTTCTGGATGATATTTGGAAGAGAAAAGATATTTTACAAAAGCAAAATATATGGCCTTCGAATTTTTAGCTTCTTATTATATCCGCTTAAGTCGCTTCTGGGTGTCTTGTAGAAGTTACCTCCACTTATTTCATAGAGCGTGCTACCAGACGTAGTAATAAAATAGCGATATTTCGGCGATTTAATTTGGAAGATTCACTTCTGCGATATAAACATGTTGTCAAACTTCAAGCATTTGAAAAAGACAAAACTATTGCAGACCTTTTCGCATGACACATCATAAACACTTCGGGTTAATAGTTGAACTAGTGTAAGAGATTTTATTAAAAGAAAAAATCCGTTGCGAAATAATTTCGATCATCCAGATGTTTACGTTTAAGCCACTTCTAGTTGATAGTTGGAAAATTGTATATATATCATAAAATTTGCAAAGTTAACGTTTATTTAACGTTTGGATGATAGTTTTTAACTAAAAATTTTACAAGAACAAACTGAGTTTCTTCAGAATTTTCAGCTTCTTTTTATATACATTTTATCATTTCTGTTAAACTTCTAGAAGTCACTTTCATTGTAAGACAAGATACATTTATGTGACTTTGGCAATAAAAAATGTTGAAAAGTATGATTGAGTAAGTTCTCTTAAACGTTATTGTTAATCTAATGCCATATATACACGGTTGTCAGATCTTACAACGTTGGCAGAAAAATGTTTAACAACTGTGTGAATTTACAATTTTTTCTGTAACGTTGTCAGAAAAAGCATTGCCTGTTTAGTGTAAAACAATAATATTGTCAGACGTTGCCATTGTCAGATAGTTGTCTGACAATTTTTATTGTCAGATGTGTCAGATTTTATGCATCTGAGAATTGACCATTATCACAGAAATGTTTTCTATGGGCAACATGGTGAATTAAAAGATTATATGCAGCTAAAAGATCTGGCCACTTTTGCCACATACAGCAATCAGAGATACAAGCCGATGCAAAATGATCGGCGGCGGCGACGCAACCATTTTAGGTCGGCGGCGGCGGCTTATTAAAGAAAATATCGGCTGCGGCTAAATTGTCGGCTCAATTTAACTTTTTCTTCAGAAATTGACCTTATAAGCGTTTATTATATTGAAAAATCTCTGTATAATAGTCTGTTATATAGAAAATGGACATTTATAGTAGTTTTCACTCTTTTAATATTAGCGCAATATTGTGTGGCAACTCTTTTCAATTTGCTATAAGAATTTAAAATAGTGGCAACTCCGTTCAAATTGGTGAAATTATTTTCTGAAATACATGTGCGATTCCAATCTTTATCAGAGGCTACGTTTAAGCCGGTTTAGCATTTGAGCCGAAAAAAGTTGGCGGCGGCGCGGCTTGCAAAATATTACCAGCTGCCAGCCGCCGCCGATTTGAGCCGTTTGGCTTGTATCTCTGACAGCAATCTGACAATGTGAACTTTGTTGGCAGATAAATCTGACAATTGTCTGACAATGAAATTGTAAGGTTTTCCTACAATCGTCTGAAGTGACAATTTACCTGTTGCTAAGAATTTTTCATTGTCAGTATATTTCCATCATATTGCTAGATCTGCCAACGTTGTAAGATCTGACAACAGTGTTTACATAGCTTAAGTATTTCTAAAGAAGGAACTAGTTATAAAAAAACAGTTTTTCTTTAATTTTAGAATTTATTTTAATATTTTGACATGTTTATTGAGATTTGTAAAGGATTTCAGAAAGTCTCTGAATACTATCTTAAACATTTTAAAACAAAGAAAAGTTTTTTTCTATTAAAGGGATTTGCAGGAAACGACAGTTTAACTTTAAAATGTGGAAATAAATTGGATAAATGCTAGGAAAGG